TGATTCTTCATTTCAAGGCATTAGATCTCGAATCTTGGGGAGGGATGAGTTGCCGGATCTACATGTCTTTTATCTTGTTAGAAATGAGAAAACTAGAAGGAAATAGATGCAGCCAGAAGTCAATGTTCAGCCCATTGAGCAATCTGCACTTGTCTCCTCTACTTCAAGGAAAGAAAAGGGAGTTGACAAGAACTTGAAGTTCATGCAGTGTGGGGTAGAGAAGCACACCAAAGAGGCATGTTGGATTATTCATTCACACTTGAAACCAGCAGCAGTACTACTGCACTTGTGGCTAATTCTAATGTAGCAAAGGAGATGCATTAAAACATAGCTACTTGTGCTAGTATTCATGCAGGACAAACATCTACCCCTAGGGGAAATGCATTGGAATTCTCAAACCTAAGTGCTGCTCATTTCCCATCTTCTATCTCTTTTTTTTTTTTTTTTGATAATTGTTCCCATCTTCTATCTCTTGGACCATTGACTTAGGAGCTTCTAAACACATAACCAACATGTCATCTTTATTCACTTTGCCCCAATTGTCTTTTGGTCAAGACAAAGTTAGAGTTGGAGATGGGTGCCTTTCAACCATATCTGGAAAAGGAAACATTTCTCATACCAAAAAGCTCTCGCTTGAATCTGTTTTAATGTTTCCCAGTTTTACAAAAAGAAAAATTGTTATCTATTTCTAAACTCACAAAACAGTTGGATTGCAATGTAATCTTTTTTCCCACTAAATGTGTTATCTAGAACACGGCGATGAGGCTTATGTGAATGGGGGATATTCAAGGGGCTTATGTGTAATTATCTTAGTTGGCTTCTCTAGCAAGCCACTGAATCTTATAAAGAGAAGAGGTTTGATTCTGTGGGGGTCTTTTGGTTCTTTCTCCCTTATTCAAATTGTAACTCAATCCTAGCTAAGGTTTTCAAGTATTGGGAGCTTGGGTTTTGAGAAGTCAAGTCAACCCATTGGGCACCTTCCAATCCCTCTATCGTTGTGTGCTTGTGTAAGAGGCCAGCTTCACGATTCTGTTACTGTAGTAAAACCGGTGATTTAAAAGGCACAGCTAGGCCTAAAGTGAGGCACATTATAAGGTATGTGCCTTTCCTAGGCCCTATGCACAACACTTTCAAAAGGCAAGTGCATGGTACACCAAGGCATGCACCTTGCACTTCATCCCAAGCATGTGCCTTTTCTATAATTTGCGTTTTTTGTTCTTTTCTAAACCTAGCAGCTAGGCTAGGGGTCCGTCCCTAGACCCCAGCCAGGCCCTTGAGACAAGCCCAAAGAAATCCATGTTAGGGTCTTAAATTCTTAATCCTTACACAAAAAAAAAATGATTTTACAATTTTAATTGCCTTTTAATAAGATATTTTATTATGATTTTTAAGAAAAAAAGAGATTGTGGGTTTGACATGCTTGAAAATGTTTTATATGTTTGACTTTATTTTTAAATTTTAATTTGAATACGCTTTACATGTTATGTTTATGCATTTTAATTTTAGATAATAGGCTTTTTACAACATTTATTTTAAAATTTAAGTGTATACTTGTTCTAATATTATGTTTAATATTTTTAATATATATATTTTTTAAATTTTAGGCTTTTTTTTGTATTTTTGCACCTTGCTTCAAAAAGGTGTGTGCCATGCCTTGTGCCTTGGCCGCAAATTGCCCCTTGCGCTTTCAAGACATTGAGTAGAACAGTTCCAAAAGGAGTTCTACTTCAAGCTCAATTTTGAAATCTATAAGAATCCAGTTTGTTTTTGTGTTTTCAGCTTTGTATTACTGTGCTTATTGTGGTTCACTTAAAGTATTGCATACATCATGCTTGACTGACCACAATTCCGCATCTTGAGACAACTTAAAAATGGAAAAAAAAAATAAAGAGAAGAACATAATTACAATATTTTTGTGCATGAAGACCAAATCATTATATCCATATAACTAGGAATCAAGAAATAGTTGAAACAAGATCAGGCATGTATCAAGCATGCCAAAGAAATGTTGTAAAAAGTATATAATGGTAAAAGAGTATTGAAAAAAAAAAACTAAGGTTACACAAGAAATGAACAAGTACCTTTCCCCATGTCAGTAACTACCAATTCCATCATGTAGGAGTCCTGGAGAGATTGAAAATTTCATTAGAAGGCAAAGAAGAAAATTAAAGAGTAGAACAACTTGGAACAAAAATGGTATGTTGAACACAAACAATGACATAGTTTAACAATGAAAGAAAACTCAAGTTTTTTATTGAATTCAACATGGGATGCAGTACCATAGCATGAGCATTTGGTTTACTGATTGACACCTCGTATAGATTAGGATGAGGTATTTGCAATAGCTGGTGGAAGGTTGACTTTGAGAGGTTCTACATATCAGTATTTGCTAAGTGACAGACTGGTTGTATTTTGTTTAGTTGTCAAGCCTTTTATGTAGCTTTTGGATTGATTTTGTGTTTATTTTTTGATTCATTAGGAGGATGGGTCTCAGAACACAATTGGTGCTGTTTTCTCCTTTTATGGGTTCATCAGATCCTCCCATACAAATCTCTTATACTTGTTTCTTTTTCTACAATTGATGTATAAAATATATCATCACTAGGCAAAGGAGAAATAGGGATTCCCAATCAAGTATACAATCAATGTTCTTGGAAGACATTATATCCCTGTTAACAAAAATCATCACCGATTGACACTAATAAATATACTTCTGAATAAGCATCACAAAATGCATTAGATTACCAAAACATAACCAAATTCTGTAGTAATAACGAAGTTGAAGCTAACTTTTCTGGGTCCTTTTAACCAGCTGCTCCAATATCAATTTGTGTTTTTATCAGTAAAAATCACTCAAGAAAGTGAAGAATTGTAGAAAAGTGGCAGAGACAAGACACAAAAATAGGAGAGAAAGTGAGAAGGGAAGAAAAGAGATATTGGGAGAGAATAATTGGTTGTGGTGGTTAGAGAGTTCTCCTACTTATATTGTATTAGTCATCCAACTCATTATAAAGGTTAGTTTACTAATCTTCCATTGATTAGTAGCAGAAAAAGAAAGAAAATAATAATAAGGCCCCAAAACCTGTGCCCCATAAACACAACAGGGAAAATAAAGGCTCAATAAAAAATAACGACAGCTTCTCTAAAGAAACAATAAATGGCCCAAGTAAGAACTAAGCAAAAAGAATGGCTGGCTGTCAATAGTTCTAAAGTGAAACTAGATCAGAAGCAATGAAGTAGAGCACATGTATCACTTTCAAAATACCAATGCATTGATAGATAGACCTTATGGGTCTAAAGGTTAAAATTGCTTACATACCACAGAATCAACCTTGAAGAAAAATGTTTCATTCCAATTCACCAAGTCAAGTCCAGAAGATACAGAATTATCTGAACTGCTGCCACAGGTTCGTGCACTTTGTTGGTTTAATAATGAACCAGGAAGGCATTCATTTGGAACAAGGCGGACTGCCACTGTATATTGGTGATTTGATAATCCTTCAACACTAGGAAACTGTCTCACAAAATATACAGGTATTTGGATAAAATTGAAAAGACCATTTTCACAATTGATGTAAATGAATGATTATATTTCAAAAAAAGAAATCAAGATAAATAATGAAAACAGTTGTATGAATTAAAGTTCAAGCAGAGAGATAATGTGTTAAAAGAAGTTGACCCAATATTTTGAAAACCCAACCAGATTGGAAGGTTGAACGAGATACAGGTTGGGTGAGGCTGTTTAGAAGTTTCCGGACAGTGAAACGAGGAAAACTAGAACTGGGCCCCTTTCTGGTTCAATGCCCCATCCAGTTATCAAGGTACTGGTAAAACCATGGCAACGTGGGGGACTGGGGGAGGAGAAAAAGGTAAAAGCAAATCTTTCTGTCATAACTATCATACCTGTGCATCAGCTATGATGACCATCACCATCACCCTAAGTTTCACGCCAAATTTTCCTTTCAAGTGAGAGTGTAACATATTTTGTGAAACAGGAACCTTTATAGGCTTCATATCCCCAGATGGCATCCTAACTATATTTGGGAGTCCCCTGACTTCAGTAGCTCGTATAAATATGTCCTGGCCAAGTTTGTTTTGTGGCATAATATGATAATTCCTCCAGTCATGGATGTTAATGATAGATCTTCCATCATAAGTAGGACGCCATATCCCCTGTTAAAAGGAAAGAAAAAATTTTTAGAGCTTCTAAATATATAAGCTAGCTTATTCATATGGTGCTTAGCCAGAAAAGAAGAAAAACAACTTAGTAAAACATTGAAAGTTAATAGGTGAAAGTGCATTTACTAACTAGAAATGACGAAATACCTGACTTATTTATGAAAAAGAACAATCAGAACTTACTTCTGTAATATAAGATTCGTGGACATTGCTAAGATTATTCCAACTTGCATATGCTTGAAAAATCATATTTGCATTAGATACTGAAATATTCAAGTTTAGATCTCTTGTAGAAGTCAAGCGTAACTGAGAAGCAGCTGGGGCATTCAGATCATACAGGTACCTGTATATGGATTTAACAAACATAGAAAGAGCTTGATCAATACAAGGTGCCATCCACATATAGATGTCCTAGTTATGCATGAAAAGTATAGCATTTTCATTTACTTGATATGATAGAAATCTCATTTCCTGGAAGTTATGCCATAAATGACAAATAGATTTAACCAGATCCTGATAATAGGGCCAAAGATGTCAGCATGCCACCTTACCCATATGGGTTTGGGCCTGTTATTTTCTATTATGTACTAGTTCTTATTTGGGTGTAATGGGTCTGGGCTTATATTGGTTTGTTTTATGTTTTGCTCTTATGTATAATGCTGCCATCTCAGCAGGCATACCTGTCCATGCATGTATTATTGTAAAACCCTCATTTAAATATCAATAAGCCGCCCATTCTCTCTTTCAAACTCCCTTCGCTTCTCTTCTTTTCCTTTCTTTAAACTAGGGTTTGAATCTTCAAAATAAAAAGGGAATCTGATCAACCCCAACTTCATTTTACACACCAAACATCCACTAACCAGGTAGGACTGGATTCTGTACAACTTACTCCTTCCTACCCTGCTTTTATCCACAGAGTAGGTTTGCTAATTGACAAACATCCTAATTTTTCATTTACAAGTTTTGAAATCAATTAGTCATGATTTGCAAAAAAAAAGTCCAAATTATGAGTGAATGAGGATGTGGTATAACCAAAAGAACAACTATGGGCCATGAACAGATTAATTCCACCTCACAATCATTAACCTGTACGTCATTGGCACCAACAATAAAACCATCTTCTTTACAGAAAATCTTCTCCTTCATTCTCTTAGCCTTCTTCTTCTGAGACTTGGTAAACCATCTTCTTTACAGAAAATTATTTAGGATTGCATGTTTACAATGTCCAGGATTTAAGATCTTTCAATTTATTCTGTATCGTTATAAATTTATATGTCAATTAGTTGTACCATCTCTTAGTTTGGTCAGTTGTCGCTTTAAATTATGAAATATTAAACTACTGTAAGGAACATAGTTTGCAATTTTAATATCAATGGACATTTTGCCATGCAGAAATGGGGAAATTTTGGGAATATTTCGCTAACTTCACCAAGATACTTGCAAACTATAAAAAGCCAAAGAAACCATAGCAAACAACTTATGAATGAAATAGAAAGGATTAAAAAGTATTCTGTCTCCCCATTAGCTTTTGTATCTATCTTATCTTTGTTACGTATGTCATTTACCTTCCATTTTGACTTTTGTTTTCTTTTTTATTTCATTTCTATATGCTTTGATTAGATTAAGAATTCTCTTTTGTAGTTGTGATATTTATTCAATTACTCAATCCCCACTTATTCTTTTAGAAATGGGTTTTGAAAAAAATGATGATAATATTAGTGAAATATCAGAAAGTTTCTAATATTCTAAAATTTTAAACTTTAAATGAATAGTCTATCAATAACCAGAAATATTACCAACATATCAACAATATCCGGTATTAGGAAAAAAGATTCCTGAATAATTTTGCATCACCCCTAGCAAAATGGGGATATTTTGATAAATATCACCTATATTGCGAACCATGGCAAGGGAAAGGAAATAGAACACATAATATGATTTGAAAGAACTACTAACTAAATATTATATAGCAGAGCAAAGTATCGCCATATAAATCTAAGTAATGGCTCAACAATTTTTTTTATGACACCTAACCAAATATTATTGACTACAAAATAGAAAAGTTATATCACCTTACAAATCCATCCACAGGCTCAACAAGAGGCTCCCAAGAATCATACTTATCATTATATGATCGTGCAGCCAAAGAGAAGCTCACAGTGGAATTTAGATAGCCAGGTATTCTTCCATGTAAACTAAATGCAATACCACTCAAAGAGATGTTACATAAAGGAACCATCTGCAAAATACCAGAAGAATAGATAGATATATAGCAGTTAAATTTGGTGCTACAGCATAACTTAGAGATGAGGTGTTTTTTCAGAAACCATAATTACAAAAGACTTTCATGGATAAACTAGAACAAATGCTTTTTAATCAGATAGATTTAATTATCTCAAATTGATAAGTTTATGCAGCCTGTAGTTCAGGCAAGCCAGAATAAAGGGTGTCTCATGTTCTGAAACCTCGGTCTATGAAAAAGCAGGAAACTGTACAAAAAATGCTAGAATAGCATTAAAATATGTGAGTTAAAAAGTCAAGGAAGTTCAAGGAACCAAAAGCTTAATTTAAAAAAGTGTTCTGAAACTTAAGGTTTGTCAAAGACTTTATGAAGATGCTTGAAGTTAAGAACCTAGCTTAGGAAGTCTTGAAGTCTTTTTTAAAGGCTTTAAAATGCACTGAAGCTTCAGAGTTTCTAGGGGTATGGCTCAAAGTCATTTAGGTCTAGAACATCTTTGTAGCTATATAAAACAGTCATTTGGGGTTAGTTGAAGTAACCAGTTTTGGAAATTTTCCCTTTATTTTTGGTTTTGCTCAAGTCAGTGTACTGGAGAGCTTACAACAAGCTCTCCATATGGAGTTGGAGCCCCTCGGTTCAGTCATTCTCTAATAGGTATAACATGAACTGTGGAGGACACTACCTGTATGTTGCATTTTATGATATTCAAATTAAACTAATGATAACAGCATTTATCTTCAGATTGGTCTATCAGTTGCATATATCTACATGAGAACTTCAGATAGATAGCAGGATCCATCTAGCCAACCCCAAAATAGATGAGATTAGGGTTAAGTTGAGTTCAGTTGAGACTGATAGCAGGGAGGGATGATACCATTCAGAAGGGAAAAAGATAATTCAAATGGATTCAATGTTCTTACCAAACCTCCATAATCATCAAAAAGCGCTGCAGAAAATGTTCCAATTTCTGCATCAATTACAGTATCATCTGAATCACTAGAAAAATTTGGATCTGCAAGCTTTAAAGCAAGTCTTGTGGGAGGCTTTCTGAAACCACTGCGGACCAGAAAGGTACCCAACACATTACCAACAGTCCATATGCTAAAAGGTTCTGTAGTGATCTTGACATCAGATGTATCCCATATACTTTCTTCTGAAAATTGATCCCCTGTTACCATATCACTACGTATGCATCTTAATGAATTGAAATCATCTTGTTTTGGTCTGCCTTTACATGCAATGCATCCCAAGGAAAGAAAACCTGGAGGCGCCTGGGGCAACCAGAAAGAAACATTTTCAATTCCTTTCTGTTTCTTAATTTGTCCAACAAGTTGAAAATCTAGAGGGACTCTGAGAAACTCATCTCCAGTATCATGAAGAACAATGGATGTGTTTGGAGGCTCATACCTATGTTTCAAATAACAAATCAAGGAGTTAATATAAAAGTTAGAAATACAACTATGAAACTCTCAAAAGCATAGAAATGAGACATTCCATTACATACCCTTGAACTGCAATATCCCCAAGATATACCATACTTTGTGGGACAACTGGACGCCATATGGATAATTTCTTCCTAGAGCCTGAACCCTGGTTCCACCATACCAATCTAAAACTAGCTATAGCTTCAAAACGCCTCCCAGAGTTTACCGCTGAAGATCTTTCTGACTGAATAGTGTGACCCTGACCAAGAGGTACATTTTGGATATTTGAATTCCAAGATTCTTTTGGAGATCCTTCCAAGCACTTAAAAATCATATGACGCAATTCATATGCTTTTGCAGTTAAAACCCTAGTTTTGGGATCTGCTGGAAGGAAAGATCCTACAGAGTTATCAACTCGCCAGAATTCAAAGCTTGATGGGTATCTGCCAAAAACAAGAAAATGAAAACAGTGTAAACATGAACTTAGTGTGCAAACAGGGAGACATGCAATAGCATTAAAAGAGATCAAATATTATCTATGCCATGAACCATCCAGTTGAACAATCATAGCCATCAGATCTGCACTCTTTTTCCAGAGTACCCAAATAATCAAGTTATTAAGTATTTCCAAAGGAGAATGTATCCCATATGGAACATATAAAAGGCACGTTCAATTAGCTCTATGCCAGGGAGATTGGTAAAGCAGTTTTCAACTGTCATATAATAAATTGGTTTTCCTTAAGTTCTCATTAACAAATTAAAAGAAATGCATATAAAAATATGCACTGAAATTGGAAGCAGAAAATGGAAGCTAACAATCCACACATACAGATCAGTACAATTCATTGCAATGCAATCTCTCAAGGCGCAAGGAGAAACTAAAGATGCCAAGATGCATAGAACAGAAGATGGTGGTGGTTGCATTCTTCCAGTTGACACTACACATCCAAGTGAAACATAACCTTCAGGTGCAACAGGCAACCAGACAGAACAGCCAGCATCTTTTCCATTGCCATCAGGAATCTCCTCAGATGCTAAAGATGGCCAAATTAGCTTGAAAGATACAGGCTTCTTGACTCTTGCAAAGCTGGTATTTACAGCAATAACTCCTTTTGTAGGAGGCTTATCCCTGTTATGTGAAAAAGATCAATAACTACATTGTTGAAGGCACAAAACTATAGGTAACAAGATCATGAAGATAACGTTGGAACTTTTACTGACAATGGTGTCAAGTAGTCCCCAAGAACAGCAAAGCCAGGTGGTGCACGTGGCCTCCAAAAGGCATAAGTTTGGTTAGTGTGAGGATCTGCAAGTTACAAAAGGCAGTCAAGAAGTTCATCTCATCAAACATTAGAAAATGCTTATCATGAAACAACAAGACAATTTTCTGTACTACATACTTTCAATTGTTCCAACTTTGTCAAACTGAGAGCAGACCACTGTTAGTTTCTTTGATGTCATCCTTATAAATGTCAGAATATCTTCCTGAACTGCCAAGAACAGTCTCAAGATGCTGAAGGAGAAATTCATGAATATATCTGAAACAGCTACATGTATATTGGTTTTCCCAGAGGCATTAGAAAATCTTATGGAGGTATCAAAAGGCTCTAAAATCCTAACTCCATTGCTCTCAAGTGTTAATCCCAGTGCATTTGAACTCATTTCAACAGTATCCCCTTTCAAAACAAGCCTGCCAGCACCATATACATGTCAGGATGTAGCTTTGGCTGTCATAACTTTTGCTAAAATATATGTAATTTCCATTTATGGAAAGTATATAAACTCATTTTATCCATGACAGAGAAGTAGAATAAATAAATTAAATAGTACTTGATCATTGGTACACGAGTTATGTCCTACTTATGTTCCATCATAATTAAGACAATCTATAAGATAATTCAAGTCATGGATGTAAAAGTGAAGCGATCATCATTTCCAAACACAACTAACAGGATTGTTCTTAAGTCAAAGAAACATAAGTGAAAAGAAGGTTGATGTTCAACTGGTTTCTTAAGTAATAACCAGTTCCATATTTTCAGCAATGCTCCATTGCTTGTATCTCATCATCCAATCATTGGATTGGCCTCAATTATTCTATCAATCCACTACCTATGTTTGAAATTTCTAATTAACCAGAAAAGTAGAAGGTACAATCTGAGCATCATACAAAAGTTGGTTTCTTCGAAGTGGTTAAAACAGGTAATATGGTCACAAGAAAATGTTTGACCATTGACCAGGACCTATAAAAGGTGAATAACAACAAGTTCACCCATAGTTGTCAAGGCATGTAGGCAATAATGGAGAGCCTAATAGAACTCTACAAAGAAAAAAATTCAAATCATAGAATAATAATAAGATACATCAATAGTGTGTGTGTGTGTGTGTGTTTGTGTGTTGGGGCAGTCCATCCCCATGCCATTAACCCCTCAACCCTTGGTCGCAGAAAATTACATGGGGTAGTCCATGTAATTAATTGACATAACGATAACAGCAGAGGCAAAGTACTGGAAACCAGAAGTACAGTGGGGTGTCTTTGTCACAAAACAAAGTTCAGAGGGCTAAGTGTCACAACCCCTTGGTACAGGGTGGGTTCCGTAATTTACCCTTTGTTTTAATATGGCTATTTGCTCTTTAAACCTGTTGTGAGGATTATTTAATTGTTATTTTACAGTTTCTGTTGGTGTGCTGTCAGCCAGTTAGTTTCTTTCTTTTTTATTAGTTTGTTACTAGGGAGTGCCACCAGGGGCACACTTGTAATCTCCCATTCCTTTTATATTAAGTATATATAAATAACTAAACTAGTGGCAGACAGAATAGTTTTTTGTTTGTGTCTCTCAATCATATCTTCCTCTTCTCTTTTCTCTCTTCTCTTCTCTTCTCTTTCTCTCTCTCGTATCTCTCTCCATGAATGATTACATGGTATCAGAGCAAGGTTCTGGGCTATAAAAACCTGTTTCTCCCATCTGAACCTGCTTCGTCCTCTTTCTTCTTTGATTTCTTGGATGTGGAAGACAGAGAAACCCTAGCAGGCCACTTGCGGGTCTTCCTTTGGGTTCTTCCTTGGTCGTAACATCAAGGAGACCCTAGCAGAAGAAGGGCGACGCAGTAAAGACTCCCTTCCTTATCTGTTCGATGCTGTGAGGTTAATTTCTGGGTTGGCACCTTCGTACAGGTGCTGGACAGGGTATGTGTTCTTG